CACCCTACCACACCACACCACATCACACCACACCACACCACATCACACCACACCAGACCACATGACAACAAACCACAACTGCATTGCGAACTCAACAACCCCAATCGTACAACTGCACTTTGACGTGTTACGAACAATTTAGAAAACTCTAGTGTTGTTTGAGCGTCAGGTACAAACCGTTCCTGAATTTCTGAAAACGTATGAGATTCTCTCTGATCATATTTCTTTGTTTCTAGGTGTCTCGTAGCAGGATTAGCATCAGGAAGCATACTCGCCATAGCAACGGACTTCAGCCGCTGGCCATTAATATAATCGTAGGCTCAACCTGTTTCTGTCTCATAATGTTCTCGAATCCCTAGAAGCAAGCGATACATAATTTCTCTACTATAAACATACCTCTAAACTCACAGGTCATCTGTAAATAGCACACTCCCATCCTCTGAAAACCAGGAATAAAATTCTGTGCGAGAAACGAGCGACAGAATTTTATCCCTGCGTTCCCGAGGATGGCACAAGCCTAGTTTTACAGGCTATTCTCCTCGCTATAAAGTAATCGAACAGTGTCTGTCTATGTAAAGCGTATCGAGGATTTGTTCAGGATCTAGTCAGCGGTTTTACCAGGGAGGTGGGTAGGGAGGAGGGTTATCCACATGAAAACCACAGGGGGCCCAAATTATTATTTAGTATCCGCAAGACTAAACAGGTATCACTTGGCTTTCTCTTTAAAAGTATAACTAAATAATAATAATCTTATGACATATAATTGTATAATGTAATGGTAAATTTCAATATTTAAGATGTATGAGAAAGCACTGCATAATCGAAAATTATAGAGCGGTTATGATTTGGGAGCGAGATTCGTTACGATATTAGTTTTGGTGACAAAACGACGCATGCTCCAAAACGTACAGTTCAATTAATAGCATGTCAAGCCATATGTTAATGGCTAATAACCGAATGTAGGATTTTTATTAATTCATTTCGATTTCCAAACGAAATTAAATATACTAGGGAAATGTATTTAAGTGATGATGCACCGACTGAAGAGAAATCAAAGCACAAAATAGAAGATTATAATTCATAATTGTTGGTGATTCACGATCGATTCTTTGATCTGAAGGGTTTTTACTTACTAATTTCAATTTGAAATATCCCCTCGGAGGGGTTAAGATAGGACTTTTTTCGTTAAGGTGTAAATGTTATGGAAAAAGCTACGCAAAAAAAATCTCTCATTTTTCGCTTGTCTATTTCTCTAGCTCAAAATGTAAAATGAGAATTGTAATAACAGTACAATAGGGAAGAATTCGTACGAGTGGGAAACTTACGTAACGCAGTCTCCCGCTAAAACCATTCGGGAAAGGCACACTGTACTTCCGCCAGTCGCAGTTCATGACAGAGGCAGGAGGGTTATGTAAGTTTACTATTCATATACTTAGTCGAGTATAAAATATTCCAAGTGCTCGAGATAGTTAGTCATTAAAAATGACGTATTGATGATAATGCTGTGGGAGTTTTGCCACGACCATATCAAAAAAATACCGCAAGGGGGCTCTAAACTATCTACTTATTCTAGTGTTAGTTGAGTCCCTTCTCACGCGTTGACCAAGATGCGCTCGGCACAGGTAGCGTCGGGGTGATTGCGTACCAGTTATTTGAATTTTCCTCTCACTGTCATCAAAGACCCGTTAGTATTCGTATGGGAGGAATTAGGGATATTTTCCATGTCTTCGGATCCCCCTTTTCTCGCAACACGTACGCGCGCGCAACGCGTTATCTTTCAAACAAAGCAAGAAATACATTTTCAGGTAAGGTTTTTAAAACCAGGTAAGTCACAAGCTAATCACTCTGATAAGTTACAATATATAACCTTTGAAACAAATAATTGCTTCTCCGTTCTTTATAAGAGTGGTTAGTCTGTGGGTAAGCTGATGCCGTTATTGCGTTTCCTTAAAATCAGGAGTCGAGAAGCTAATCATACCATCGCTGCCCATCCAATGCGGTATCTTTATCTAATTAGGTTTTACATATTTGATTTGCGCGTCTATTTATACGAGCTGCTAACGTTTTTAAAAGTGCGTCATCCCTATTTCGCTTTAACCTTCAATACATCCTTGTTCCTAGAGTCGCCTCAGCTGCTACGATTTGCCTTAAAAGTTGAGGACGAAGAGGGAACGATCTTCGTCATGTATCCCAGCATGCACCTGGGTTTCGGCTGACGCATTGCGCGAGAAACATCCAACAAAGAACCAAACAAAACGAAACAAAATTCCACATGAATCAATATCGGATACCATTTAATAGTAATAAACTCAAATCAATAAAAGGTTTTGTACATTGCACTAACAAGATCATTAAGATATTAAGGAAAAGTTGCTTAATATGTTCTTTAATTTAATAATAATATAATACTTAATAATACAGACGGAGTCGTGACTAATAACGAGTTATATCACTAGCCRATTAAAATTTATCGATGAAAAGAAAAAGTACACCAAAAAACATTGGGTGTTTTTACTTCTTCTTGCTCTTGAGTTGTTCTTTAGCGACCTGTGCTGTTGCTTGTTGTGCCGAGGCTTGAGCAGCGGTAACTGCTGCTTTCTTCTTGGTGAACAGGCTTATTTCTTCTTCCTATCAATGATAGATAAATCAAGATGTGAGTGGAAAACATTAAGGCATGTTGGCACTGAAGTGGCTTCCGCTATGGACCAATCAAAAATAGGTACGAATATACGGAGATTTAGCTGTCAATTCGTCTTTACCCTGTCTTCTCGCTCAGAAACGTAAGATAATTTATGGTTCCGACTCCCCTTAGTTACCGTTGTTATGTCCCACAAGCTTAAAAAATTATATGGAATGTCTCAGAATTTAAAACTGATGGCGGAAAATTGATTATGAATTGTTTCAATAGTTTACTGCCCTGTGAATAGAATAGAGAAGGGCTCGTAATCCTCGTAGTTCGCTATTATCTGAGTTGGAACTATGAATAACATGGTATACAGTACGACTCATTCACTAATCATTTCTAAACTCCTACTAAAGACCAAAGTGTGTTTATAGCTTCCTCAACTCGGACGCACCAGCTCTGATTGGCTGGAATTGAAACCGCAGTGGTCCTTGTGACGATCCTGTCACTCCTTCAAAAGTTCTTATCATGTTTTCTTAGTATAAAACATGGCTTAAAGGATTTCGTATCAGTGGACATGCAATCTCAAATAACGTTTTTCTAGGATTTCTTTTGAGAACGAATTAAATTTATGATCCTTTGCGTCCTTGGAAGTAAGACCACACCTTATATATTTACTCACCAACATATGACGTTTTTCTTCAATCTTTCTCTTTTCATCAGCCTGCACTTTCTTCAGGTGATCAAACTTAGCGTGAAGCTAAAGACGTCATGATAAACAATTATTATTACATTAAGTGTTTCTTTGTAGGCTGGTATTAAATTTATAATTTTTAAGGTAGTTGAAGCAATTTATCTACAATTATTATGTTTCAAATAGGCTTGGAAAAAAATAAAATAAAACTAGGATAGATTTTTGGTTGAATCCATATTACATATATTAACAACCTTGTTTTTTTTTATTCCAAGCTTTTAGGCTTAACGCCCATTGTCAGGGRAAATGCTTAAAATGACTCAAAAGCATTACCTCTTGTTCAGCCATCTTGAGTTCACTCTCTTTATCCTTAACTTTCTGTACAAATCTCTGTCTCATTTTTTCTTCTCTCTCTTGGAACTCCTGCATGTATTCCTTACGGCGCTGTTCATAAGTTTCTTGCAGACTATGGGGCTCGTGGTTTGCATCACCATCACTAAAGCCCATATCCTCTAGCTTGCTCCGTCGATACAGCTCAAAATGAAAGGCATGGGTCTTGTCAATCAGGGCTTGCATGTTGGTTCTGTGACACAACATTAAATATTTATGATGAGAGTTTAGAATAGTAAGGTAAAAGTAGCAGTGTTTTGCATTGAAGCGAGACGAATGGTGAGCTTGCAGTGATAGAGACATGTGAATAATTGTCCAAGGTGTTAAAAAAGGTCTCTATCATTGCAAGCTCACCCTTCAATTTCAAGATGGCGCAGGGAACGGTGAAGGGGACTATTGAGAATCAAGAGTAGTGTAGTGGTAGTTTATTGGCTTCTTACATCTGGGGTCTCAGGTTCGATTCCTGGATTCAGCATTACATGTGAGTAGAGTTTGTCAGGTCTCTGCCTTGATTCAAGGGTTTTACCTGGGTTCTCTAGTTTTCCTCCCTCAGAAAAAAACTAACGATCTAAATTCCAATTCGATCTTTTTTGTTTCTTTGAGTTGCGTGCTTTTCCTCCCAGTACTGTATATACCTAATTCAAAAAACGTCATCGCCAAAGGCAATAGGCAATAGGCGATAAGTGAAAAGTGATAGGATATATGTTATTCCAAGATCCAAGAATAGCTCGAATGACTTGTGTTTCTTCTTCTTCTTCTCGTCAAGAGTATGGACCTTCGTGCTGAGATTGATTCGATGTTCTTTGTATTCAACGAAACCATTTCCATGTCGGAATGACCTATTGCCTATCGCCTTTGGCGATGACAACGTTTTTTGAATTAGGTGTATATACCATGTATATCTACTGGTTACAGTTATCACATGTACCTTATCAGCATTTCCCTAAGTTTCACGAAGTCACAGTGGTTCTCATTTTCAACTGAAATTAAAAGCATCCCTTGTTAGAATTGCTTACAATAATCCTAAAATATCCTGTAGCATTTATGTTTTCTTTAAATTTTCTCATAGTTTTACAATGCGAATACCAAGTACTGGTCCCTGTTTTCAATAGTAAGAGTTTCAATTGCCCTATTTCACTATGACGTCACATCAAAACAATCTATTGTTTAAATGCAAAGGATCATGGTCGTCGGAGCGGGTCAAATCAACGCAGCCAAATTCACTGAAAATTGTTCTAAAACCCCTATCAATCTATTAAGAGAAGTAGAATAGCCAGCAAACGCTCAGAATATTTTTAGTAAAAGTTAACACATATTTGTATATCTGAAAACCAGGCCATCTTAGATTAAACTGTTTCTCTAGGAGCAAGTTTTGTTGAATTTTCTATTGGATTTGCAGATTCTATCCCCCACATAAACAAGCAGTGATGTCATACATTGTAGTGAAATAGGGCAATTTTGACTTATATAGCCTGTGAACAGCCAATCCATCCGTCTCCCCTGGGGTAAGAAGCAGCTGTACACAAGCTATTGTTTATATATTGCAAGGAATATGAATACAGCTCTAAAGTATTATTAATATACATAATCTGTAAACATTCATAATACCTTCTACAGTGCCCCATGGATAAACTCGTGCTCTAACATTTTTTTTGTTGACAGCTACTTCGTCCCTGCTACCCACGACAGCAAATGGGATTTCACCCTGCAAAAAAAAAAAAGAATTTATTGTACATAAATTAAAGCATTAAAAAAAAGGTAAAGTACCTATATTTAACGTCGGTAGTTCCTTCAGTTGAAATTCAACTGCTATCAATAGAAGCCGATGGTAAAGAATAGTAGACACATATCAGTAAACTTACATTCATTGAATTATTCATCTCAGCTACAGTTTCGTCATCAGTTGGAAACTTATAGATTTCAACTCCATTGCTCTCCAGCTCCTCCGTGATCTTTAGAATTAAAACAATTAGCAAATATTAATAAATTTAGCTTTAATGATATAAGTTTTAATTACCACCACAGTACCAGTCCTATTACCTTTTCTTTGAATGCCTGTAGCTCACTCTTAGCAATGGTGTCTGCTTTGGCAATAATTGGTATGATATTGACCTATGCAAAAGTGACAAAACATTTCCAGTCAAATAACGTGAATGTTGAATGAATTTAAGTTGGCAATGGAGTAATTTTATGGTAAATTCGCCATATTTTTTCTAGCAGCATATCTATTTGATTTTTTTTCCAGCCACAACAAGATTAGCAATTTTTTAAAGAGTAATCAAGGGCGCTGAGAAGTGCTCTTTAAAATGGATAAATTATAAGTTCCAGGATTTTTGAGGAATTCCATGAATCCTGGATGTATACATGTCTAAAGATGCCACAATCCAAGTGGAGGGAAAAGGTTTGAATGAACAATCAAATCATTACCTTTTTGTCTAATTTTTTCATGCACACTAAATCAAGAGACTTTAGTCTGTCGAGAAAAAAGGACATATTAATTCAATTTTACATATCTAGGATTTGTTTTATATGTGTAAAGCTGTCTGAGATACATAAGTTTTATCTCTTTTTAAATTAAAATTTTTATGAACGTAGTAAAGAATCTCATGGTTATGTTGTTGCTAAGAAGAAAATAACACTTTCATGTAATTGAGAAACACCAAATTGTGAACTGCGAAAAGTTAATGGGTACTTATGTTCTACTTACGAGTGTCCAGTAGGAGATACAAAGTACAGACAAGCATGTACTCTAGTGTCACTGAAGGTATTTAGAGCCCTCTTTATCTTCATTTCTTGGTGCAGATATGCTTCAAACTGTTTGTCTATGTAGTCTATAATAGGAGTATGGCTAAAAAAGGCAAAAATCGATATTGATAACCCTAAAATAATAATAATCCTATGGGAGAAGGAGGAGGAGGGGGAGGGGGAAGGAGGGGGCGATGGAGTAAGTATATAGTAGCACTCCCAGCCCCTCTATCTTCACCGTCCCTGCAATAACGTACCTATCTTCTTTGTTGATCTGATCACCATATCCTACTGTATCCACTACTGTCAGCTTTAGCCTCACATTACTTTCCTTTAAATCTAAAGAAAATCATGTCATGTAAATAATGGGATACCCTACTCATCAGAAGGGGTTAAAGCTTCAAAATGGTAGGGAGGATCTGAGAAGAGCATGTAATGGGTAACCATGGAAATTTATAGTAGCTATAAGTACATGTAGTAAGGGAATGGGGTCTATGCTATCATGATCAACACCACCACCCATGCATTTGGTAGAAATACTTCAGACCTGTGTAGATCAACTTCCAAGGGACGGGAGGATCTGAAGAGGGTTTAGTATTTTGGCGATATATTATAGAACTTCATTGGAGAAGAGAAAGAAAGAGTCTATCAACAACCACACTCTCTGTGCCTTATTGAGGTACACRTATTATATAAATACTTTCTATGCATTTTTTAAAAAATTCTTAAAAACATAAATTGCATAGTGTACATCATACCAAATTACATACAAAATACTTAAGTGTTTTAGAATAAATTTTGAACAACAAAAATTAATGATAAATGAGATGTTGAAACGTCCTACAATGTTATCATCAATTTTYGTTGATCAATGTTTTCCACAATCCCTGTTTATAGAATAAATTTATCATGCCTCATACCATAACTGTGGTGTTCAATTTGAACTCCAGGAAGATGATGTGAGTGAGGTTCTCCTGTAAAAACAACCACAAAGATGTTACAAAATTCCTTGTCTGAATATTGCTACAAATCTTTTGTTTCAACTTATAAAATATTTAAAAAAAACGTAAGCATAATATTACATATGAATACATTTTGGAGTTCGTACGTTCATTTAATTTATATACAAAACAAAATCAATCAAAAACGAAAATAAGAAAAAACATTTTAGCAAGATTTTCTCTTTACTTCTTTCAGATTATTGAAAAATATTTTCAATGTTAGCTTAAAAGACAAACTCAAGCATATTCCAATGCAATTCAAGCCCACCTGTTGCAAGCATTTTAATGAAAACATTCTGTTCAAAATGGGAAACGCCTTTCATTCATTTTGAACACTTCATTCAAGTACTTACAAAACACCTTCAAAAATTAACAAACTACGACCAGAAATATGAAGGTTTAGTCCGTAATGTACCTTCAAATGTGGTCTTGAAAAGACAATCCATCAAAGTAGATTTTCCAATCCCAGTTTCTCCTAACAAAACAACAAAATCTGAGTTAATAAGTTCAGGGTTTTACAAACGGAAGCTTGGCACATTCTTGCGCCGTCCCTCCTAGCTTAACAAAGGAATCACTAAAGGACACAGAACACAATTTTTCTTGACTCTGAAGGACATGTTTCTCTTACCTATACATAAAATGTTGAAGGCAAAACCACTATTTACAGATTTATTTACGAGTTGATCGGGTAAACTGTCAAATCCAACATGACCCGCCAAACGAAGTTGTCGTCCATTCGCCCCCTAACAAAACACAAAAATACCCTATAAAACAACCACACAACATCACCATAAACTCCAAATCACTCAATCTCCAATACTTACCAAGGATCTACAGTAGTCAGTGACAGCAGAAGTCATGATTTCAAGCACTAAATGTAAGAATAAAGTTGATAAAAAACTTGTGTTGTGCTCAAATAATAATTGGAATGTCACAATGTATGAGCCCCTAAGCCTTTGAACAGCGGTCATGTTTGGTTATATTACTTCCGGTTTGAGCCTACACACTTCCGGTTTGAACAGCGGACATCAACTCCTCCCAAGTCCTACTCGACCAAGGAAGGAGTGGAATTCATTTTGAGTCGAAGTTTTGTTTACAAGTTGATCAAGTTTGAGCCCGAAAAATATGTACTTCTAGCTGTTTGAAGGACAATTTTACCAGTATGTTTGCCAGAATAGTTGGTAAGAAGGGTTTGGTTGGTATTGCTGTTGGAGCTTTAGGCGGAGGAGTCGCGTTCGGAGCGTGGAAAGGAAGACAAAATGGCGGTCAGATGCCAAGTTCACCTGTTGGGGTAGTGTTGGCAAGGTCTGGTCGTAGTACGCCACATACTAGACGACAAGCGAGGTTTGAGAAGTTTGCGTCTTGTGAGATGGATGGACAGTATCTTATGACCCCGGCTGACTTTCTTGAGTCTTTAATGCACCAAGACTTACCAGGTATTGAAAACKGACAGTTTATTTGTTGCACATAATTCTTGTGCTATTGGCCTGCATTACAGGTATTCCCTTCTTCAATAATACACCCGGCTTCATGTGCACATTACATTTACAACACTGTTGTGAAGGGATTCCACTGAATGGAATTTCTTGGGGGGAGAGGGGTGGCTTTCTAGTGCACAGACTTGTACCTCTCATGAAATCATTATTTATGTACATCTTGAACATCTTTTCCTTTTATAGCTTGTAGAAGGGGTTAATAAAAGTGAATGTAGAGATGTATATCTGTGAAGAAAAGGGCTACTTGTGAATGTATGCATGTATTAAGTTTTGTGTGTATTGTGGTTAACAGGGTGGAGCAGSAAAAGACAGCTAACACAAAAGGTTAGATGAAGCTAACAATTAATATGCTGTTATACCTTTTAGAATTAAATTGAAAGTTGTATTATGCACACTACCAATAGGCGCATGGATGTAAAATACATTAATTGCCCAATTTCACTATGACGTCACATCAAAATAATCCATTGTTTATCCATGGTCATTGGAGGGGGTCAAATCAACGCAGCCAAATTCACTGAAAATTGTTCAAAAATCTGTATCAATCCATGAAGAGAAGTAGAATAGCTAGCAAACTCTCAGAATATTTTTTAGTACATATTAACACATATTATATCTGAAAATCAGGCCATTTTAGATTAAACTGTTTCGCTGGGAGCAAATTTTGCTGAATTTTCTATTAGATTTGGCGATTCTATCCCCCACATAAACAAGCAGTGACGTCATAGTGAAATAGGGTAATTGCCATCGTTATATTAATCTGTCAACCATTTTAACAATAGCTAGGTTATCATATACATACTGACCCATATTTAATTTTCAATCACCTTTTCTCAGTATTTTACACCTTTGCCTACAGGCCCTTGATAAATGTGATAATAGAGTAGTTACATATGACTGTGAAAAAGTCAGTGCCATATGCGTGCCTTATTGTGACCATGATGTTTTCTTTAATTTTGATTTGGTTTTTTTTTTTCACGTAATGTGATTATGGTTTGGCAGTGCCTTGACCTTGGCTTGTGTCCACACCGTGTTCATGCAGTGTTTCAAGCATTTGATTGGATGGAGAGTAAATGCTTTTGCATGTGATTGCTCTGGCATATGCCTTGCAATGTCACGGAAACTGCTCAATAACTTTTACAATGTACTTGTATGTCTACTTTACTGGCGTAATTACCAGTTATTTCAAAATTTTTTTGTGTTAGGATATTGAAAATATGGTGTACAGGACACCAGCATTGTCAAAAGGCTCCAGCAAGTTCTTTAGAAATTTACATGACAAAGGTAAGTAGCATCAATTTTTAAATCCTTGTTGATTTCAGCATATTGATATTTTTGTCGTAATATATAATATTTTGTTTTCTAGGAATTATAACATATTCAGAATATCTGTTCCTTGTTACTATCCTTACAAGTAAGTATAAAATTGTACAGTACTATCAGTATTATTACATTAATAAGTTATTTATTATTTCATATTATTTTTTAAGGACAGTGTTAATTAATGTTTTGCAATAATTACAACCTTAGAGTCAAAACGAGGCCTAGAAATTGGCTATTGCATGCTTGATAAAGATGGTAACCAGCAACTTTCCAAAGAAGAATTTTTAGTCGTAAGTATCCATGTATCAGTGAGTATTATTTGGATTGCAAGATTCTGCATGTAGGTTTAAAAGGTAGTGCATCTTGTAATTGCATTTTTTTTCTTCTCTGGTCTTCCTGTGTCAGCTAAACTATTACAGACACAGGTAGCCCAGCCATAGCTGTTATTACAGTTGAGCCTGCAATGAGATATTCTTTTGTTTAAGAATCATACAAGTGCATACGAAGCTTGTTTCTCATTAACATCTCATTTGCATGCATCCATCTGCTATTGGATGATATTTAAAAAGTAAGAGATGTCTGCAATAGAAGTTACAACGTTAAAAGACATCACAAAAAATAGCTGAAATGTCATTGTCGTAATGACATAATAAATTAGAGGACTTAAGGTTGAATGATTGTTTGTACAGGAACTCAGATCGATAATTTAAATTTTGTATTTATCGAAGTATACAGTAGCTATAAACTCATTCCGAGTTATTATTTTAATTTCAGCTTGAAGAAATGGTGAATAGAAAATCAACATCAAAATCAATGGTTAGTGATATTTCTGTACATGTTGGCTACTTCATTAATTTAACACAGACTCTTTTTATGTATTGATTGATGTATCAATATATGTTTCCATGACATTGTCCATTGTCCATGGAGTGTCGTGGAAAAGCTTTGATTCATGTCCAAAAAAACCTGCTTTGACTTGATGATTCCACAAGTGAAATCAAAATGAATGTAATCAGTGTAAATGAAAATCATAATTTCAATCATAATATCATCGTGTAGTTCCAGAAATTATCCATACCGTTTCCAAGGAAGAATTTTT